AATTGCCATGACCACCATCAAACTTGCCAGGTGTGGGAGCTTGGGTTGGAGCTGAAAGCGTGGCAGAACAGCATTCTGCACCTGCAGGGTGGCAACCTGGGCCTGCAAGGTCCATAGGGACCCCACTCTCTGTCGGAGAGATAAATGGCCTTTGTAGGGTCTATGCTCACCATATCAGCTCCAGTTCCCTGTTCTGGGGCTGCTCAAAATTGTCAGTGACTGAGACACGGACTGAGAGTTGTACCTAGTGGCTGGAGCCGGAGTCAGCCATCAGGAACCAGAGCTAAGGGTCAAAAGCAGAGTCAGAGGCCAGATGCCAGCGCTGAGGGTCAGAGCCAAAGTCGTAAGTCATGAATCAGAGCTTAGGGTCAGAGCCAGGTTACGTGGAGTGAGGCAAGTCTGGGTCCAAGGCAACAGAAGGGCTGAGACCGAGGAAGCCGAAGGGATGGAAAAAGGCAGGAGCAGGGCTGGGATGAGGCAGGTGCAAGAGCTATCACAGCTGTGGGTGAATGCTTTGAGCACCCACCAAACTGCTGCTGCTGGCCTTAAGAGCTGATCTGCTGACTCTTCCCACCAATCAGTCTGTGTAGTCAATCAGGCAGCCTACTACAGGCCAGTTGCACTCATTAGGTTGCCCTGAGGCTGGCTCTGCTGCAGGCCCGGATTCCTATATCTTCCTCTATCAGCTGCACTGTTCTGTATGTAATGTAGGATAATAAATTGTGGGGGATTACAGGGATACTGCAAGTATGATGACAGTGTAGGGGACCCAATCATAGAATCACAGAATATCAGGGTTGGAAGGGACCTCAGGAGGTCATCTAGTCCAACCCCCTGCTCAAAGCAGGACCAATCCCCAACTAAATCACCCCCGCCAGGGCTTTGTCAAGCCTGACCTTAAAAATATCTAAGGAAGGAGATTCCACCACCTCTCTAGGTAACGCATTCCAGTGTTTCACCACCCTCCTAGTGAAAAAGTTTTTCCTAATATCCAACCTAAACCTCCCCCACTGCAACTTGACACCATTGCTCCTTGTTCTGTCATCAGCTACCACTGAGAACAGTCTAGAACCATCCTCTTTGGAACCCCCTTTCAGGTAGTTGAAAGCAGCTATCAAATCCCCCCTCATTCTTCTCTTCCGCAGACTGAACAATCCCAGTTCCCTCAGCCTCGCCTCATAACTCATGTGTTCCAGTCCCCTAATCATTTTTGTTGCCCTCCGCTGGACTCTTTCCAATTTTTCCACATTCTTCTTGTAGTGTGGGGCCCAAAACTGGACACAGTACTCCAGATGAGGCCTCACCAATTTCGAATAGAGGGGAATAATCACATCCCTCAATCTGCTGGCAATGCCCCTGCATATACATCCCAAAATGCCATTGGCCTTCTTGGCAACAAGGGCACACTGCTGACTCATATCCAGCTTCTCATCCACTGTAACCCCTAGGTCCTTTTCTGCAGAACTGCTGCCGAGCCATTCGATCCCTAGTCTGTAGCGGTGCACCAATATATTTGACCAATATATGCACACATTTCACACTGCTAGCTACAGCCCTACCCGCTGGTTTTAGTCAAGTACAACAGACCAAGGGAGCATGCACATGCAACATTATTGAGTGCTATGTAATTATATAAGATTGAAGGGTATATTCTCCCCCCATTCCACACGTGGAGCTCTGCTTTTGACACTAAGACAGCCTTGGCCTTGCCAGTGAGAGTTCTATGCTGAGATCTGTAATTATTTTAGCAACAGCACATTCCTATTCTTAGCATATTGTGATTCCATCATCTTTTAGGTTCAGCTGTTCACAAACACCTCAGAATGTGAAGTCTTATCCTGCAAAGGGCTAAGCATCTCCTGAGTGTCCTCCACTGAGAATGGAATCAATGAGAATTGAGGATGTTCAGAATTTCACAGAAGGCGCTCAAGGGGGATTTTCAAGAGAGCACAGCATTGATCCAACTCTGTTCCAACTGAAGTCAAAGATAAAACTCCCTTTGATTCCAACAGGAGCAGAGTTTGGCCAGTGCTGAGCTCTTTTGAAAATTTCACACACTGTGCTTTGCAAGTTTAGGCTCTGAGTCATGCCTTCTTAATCTGACATATTTTATGGGTTCACTCATGGTTCACTAGTATGGAAATATTTAAGAGTCAGACTTTGCAAGAAAACATCACAAAAGGCAAATCTAAAATGTCTCTAATTAAAAATAGAACAACATATAAAGATACAACAGGTTTCCTCCTACACTTGTTCTCAGACACCACATTCTACCCAATATTCACTTTGTGTCCCTTTCTGTGATTTCACTTCTCTCTGCCTTTTTTTACTCTGCTTCCCCCTAAGCTTTGAAGAGCCTTCTCCTTCATTTCCGACAGCCCTCCTATATCTCTGTATGGAAATCTCTTCTGAAAACATAGTTGTGCACTTAGGCTATGGCTGTCTGCTCCAAACCTCTTTCTTTAATAGTCTGCATAGTATTCATTTGATTCAAATTGTAACTTGCTTTGGATGGGAATCTATCAAAACTGTGTGTGCTGTAAAACATCGACACATCTATGGCACTTTTTAGTAAGATAAGCACTGAAATTTTCATAGCAAGATGTCTAATACTAATAGGACTAAAACATATGTTTCATTGTATACAACTATATTACTTCACAACATTATTTTGTAATCCTGGTTCTGAAACTTGCTGTAAACCTAGAAAAAATAAAACCTGAAACATTGACATTTTACAGGTTTCAGAGTAGCAGCCGTGTTAGTCTGTATTCGCAAAAAGAAAAAGAGTACTTGTGGCACCTTAGAGATTAACCAATTTATTTGAGCATAAGCTTTCGTGAGCTACAGCTCACTTCATCGGAATGCATCCAATGAAGTGAGCTGTAGCTCACGAAAGCTTATGCTCAAATAAATTGGTTAATCTCTAAGGTGCCACAAGTACTCTTTTTCTTATTGACATTTTAAAATCCTGTATTTCTAATTCAATGCTGAGAATTATTTACAAAAGAATGCAGTACAAAATACTTCCCATAAACATTAGTTTATTCATACAAGAGGACAAATACAAGTGTTTGTAACTATCAGCTTGTAAAACCTAGGAGTAAATGCAGAGACAATTCAAATACTCACGCTAGTGTAAAATCATGGAAAGTACTCTTATAGAAATAACAGAAGTAATCTGCATTTATATCATCTTTCTACAGAATGTCTCAGGCTGCTTTACAACTAAAGCAAACAAAAGTTATCAGCACTTAGTATTGTTAAAAGCCACTGCTGAGATATTTTTATGGAACAAGATGTTAACAGAATACAGGATATGAATTACTGATATCAACACTCAATGAGAAACTCAATATAAAAATGGTTAAACCTAGAGAGAGTCTGGACCAAGGTCCCTCAAGAAAGCTAGCTGCAGTGACAGAGCTCAGGACTTGTCTACACACACAGAGGTGTAATGGTTTAACTGAAGGTGTGATTTTAAACCAATTTAATTAACCAATGACAAATGCAGCGAGGACACTTATTTCAGTTTACCAGACTTCTTATGGTTTAGTTTAAGTCGATTAAGAACAGGTTTAAGCTAAATCAAAACAAGACACTCAAATGAAAATCAGTGTGTCCATATTGGGACTTACTAAACTGAATCAGTTTAACATTACACCTTAAGCTAAACCAGTGCAACTTTCTTTTGTAGACAAGTCCTCAGAAAATTGTTAAAGGGGACATACTGGGTTAAGCACAGCTCTAATGGACACTCAGTGTCTAGTCAAACCTGTCTGAATTCCTTTATATTGCAGAACAGGTCAGTGCCGAGACTCGCCTCTACACAGCCAAAGACTAGTGACATTGGGATAAGGGATCTCCCTGGTGAAAGGAACAGGTGATGATGGAAGTGATAGTGTCCTGAAAGCAAGGAGACAGCAACCAAGGAACAAAGAGATGGGAATTCATTGCTGCTGCTGGAATGGATCATAGGGGTCCATCACAATCAGTTCACAATTTAGCGGAGCCCTATATGCTGCCCTAACCTGCACTGGGGACAGGACTGGGGACTTGCAAATTTCTGCAAGTGGATAAACAGGATTTTTGTAAATAAATTAAATCAATGGCACTAGCAAATACCATGATCCAGTGTCACCAATTTCTCTCCTAATGAGAAATTGATCTGCTATTGCTGGGCAAAGGGGTAACAGGTTCTGTCAGGTTCAGTTGTCAAGAGAAACTGGGCATCCTGACTAGTAATGGATAGAAATTCCATTATTGCAAAATGGGTAACATAAGAACGGCCTTACTGGGTCAGACCAAAGGTCCATCTAGCCCAGTATCCCGTCTTCCGACAGTGGCCAGTGCCAGGTGCCCCAGAGGGAATGAACAGAACAGGTATTCATCAAGTGATCCATCCCCTATCACTCATTCCCAGCTTCTGGCAAACAGAAGCTTACAAAGAGCCCTGGCTCCATTGACACAAGTAGAAATGGACCCAAGCCATAAAACTGAGAATCAGATTTTCCCAAATTTCTGGGATGTTCAGATCTGGGTTTTGGCTTTCAGCGAATCTCTAAACACAAGATTACCACTGGGACAAACCAACATGTTGATTCCAATCATAATAAAGGGTTGGGCTATTAGTGGGATTTGAAGGCATCTGGCACCCCACAGGAGAAGCTCTGCCTGATTTGTTGTTATCTGTTGTGAGATGCTACATACAAAAAGAAAGCTACTTACAACAGTTTGTTATTTCTAGTCAAACTGCAAGGGAAGAATTTATTCTGGTGACATAGTGGTAACACTGAAAAAGTTCATTCTGTACAAGAGCTGTTACCAGTTCCCACAGCATTCCCCATTGCTAAGCACTGGGAATCTCTCTCCAACCAGCAGCACCTTTCAGAACTGGAGACTCATGTTCAGTGCAACCACCATTTATTCATTTAATATTTGCATGAAATAATTCATCCCTCATTTTTCTTTTCCCTTGCCTTCTCTCTCTCTCTTTTCAGATGTTAACAACGAGTAATCCAGATGGGGTGCAGGTGCTGTAAAATAATAAAAAGGTACAGAAGAAATGGTGCTTGGAATCAGAATAAAATAAAAGCTTGTTAAAAACAAATCCATTCTCACCTGCATTCATCCTTTAAGTTAAGGATATTTACCATGTTGCAAATAATCGAGGAATTTACAGTTTAGATCAATTAAGCCACTTTGGAGCCCAAAAATGCTGATTTCCTGTAAACTTCATGTTGGTTTATTTTAATTGAGTTTCATCTGTGTAGCTGCTAGCCCACAGAAGCTATGTGGCAACGGAGGCAAATTCTCACTGTAGCGTTTTCCCACCTGAGTGGCAAGAAGCAAGACTAGTTCAGTGGGTGACGGAAGCTGTAGGATCCATCACCTTCTAAACACTGGAAATGTGCTGTAAATCTGCAGGTAGGGCAGAGACAGCTCCATGAAATCCTTACCTTACATCCCTGCTTCCATTGTAGACTTTACAATAACTGGCTTTGGGCAGGTCACATAGTAAAGGGCTTTCAATTTAGACAGCCTGCCATCCCAAGCTTCTCAATGCTCCACTCAGCCTTATGTGGATGCCATCCCCATCACCACGTACTCCTGGGGTAATGCCACTGCACATGTGCAGAATTTAGGTCCCCTGCAGGTTTCTGTACTTCCCTGCAGAAAAATATGACTTTCTGACGGGGAAGCAAGGGGAAGCCACAAGTGCGGTCATGTGACCCTCCCCAGAAGTATGTTTTGGGTACCCGGGGAGCCAGCAAAGGGGTAAATCACTGTGCGGCAGAGGGCGGGACTGGGAAAGACCCGGCCCCCTACCCTACACCAGGATCAGCTGCTAGTCCTGGCTGGGCTGGGGAGGACGAGACTTCCTCTTCCCCAGCACGGCATCCAGGGCTGGGTCAGACTCACCCACAAATTTCTCCCCCCAGCCGCAGGAAGCTCTGCAAACTCTCTCTCTCTCTCTCCCATCCACCCAACCCCTGTGCACCCAGACTCCCTCATACCCAGATCCTCCCACCGATCCTCACCCACCCCGCACTCGGAATCCCCCCGATGAGCCCCACTCCCCCTGCACCTGGACCACCCCGACAAGCCATCCTTACCTGGATCCCAAATCAGCCGCACCTGGATCCCCACCCCACTGAGCACCACTCCCCCAACATCTGGACCCTGCATAGAGTTCCCCACACCCAGAGCCCCCCCCACCGAGCTCTATCCCCCCACATTCAGACCCCTCCGCTGAGCCCCAATCACCTTCACCTGGACCCCCCTGCAGAGTCCCAATACCGTTCCACCCAGAACCCTCCAACAAGCCCCTGTGCATCCAGATCCCCCCGCAGCTGAATCCCCCACTGAACCTCCCACACCCAGATTGCCCCACACAGAAGCCTCTCAATCCACATCTGGAGCCCCACACACTAAGCCCCTCCACACTTGGATCCTGCCTTGCTGAGCCTGCCTGCACACACCTGTTGCACCTGGCACGGAGGGGCAGGGCCCTGGGGTGTTTCTGGGGCAGGTCCGGTCCTTGTGCTGTGTCAGGGATGGGTGCAGCCTCACCGCTGAGTTCGTGTTTGGGGTGGAGGGAGCTGCACAGTAATCACTCACCTCCGTGCAGGCAGTGGCCTGTGCTCCCCAATATTATGCTGGAACCTCCACATTTATTTGAGAAATAAAATTTGCAGAATTTTAAAATACTGCGTGCAGAATTTTTAATTTTTTGGCATAGAATGCCCTCAGGAGTAACCATGGTGAGTGAGGGAAATGGGGAAGGAAACTGAAACTACCAGAGAAGATAAAGAGGGGAGGGGCATAGTGAAGAAACAAGAACACCTGTGTCAGAGCAAAAAAAAAAAAAACAAATGGAAAAGGGGCAGGGGGGTACAAAAATGAATGGAAAAAATAAAAAGAGGGGAAACAGAAGGGAGATGTGAGAGAGAAAATGTTCAGAGGAAAGGAAAAAAGATGATGACAGCTGGGTCAGGACATGATCACAGGGAACACGTTCAGGGTGCCCACCTGCAAATCGAGCCCCCTGGGGATAAAGGTTGGGAACAACTGTGTTGTTATAAGGTGGAAGGACTTCTTGTCCTGTGGCTGTGACATACCTAGTGAGGCATTCCATGGCCTCTCTGTCCCCTTGTGGAGCCTCTGACCTGGAGCCTCATTGTTCTGTAGCATTCAGTCTCTTGAGCAAATGACGACAACTAAGTATATGCTTTTTACATTTAGTACACAATACTGTAGGTTGAGCATAGTTGCGCTAGTTGTTTAATCTCAACACATCAACTTGGGTGTAAGCAGTTTTCAGTTTCTAACAGAGAAAATATTAACTGGTAAAATTCTCTTTTCCCCAGCTATATCTTTGATCCAGAAGATGTACAATCCTCGAGATACCCCAATGAAGTAAACAGTTACAAACCAGACGGCAATAAATTCAAAGGCGATCAGAACAATGAAACTCCAGTGCATAAAAATGAACTGCAAAATGATGAGTTAAAGAGAACAGAAAATAAAAACAGGTTCAATAACACAAAAGAGGCCTTCTGGAACCACAAAGGAACTGCTCTTCACGAGGAAGGACTAGGAAACTGCATTGAAAAGTTTGACAATGCTCACAGTGGTGTCAATTCCTGTAGTGGTACGCATCCCTTTCCTAATCACAACACAAACCGAATCAAAGAAACCGTCAGACATGGAAATTCCAGCCAGTCAGCAAGTTCTTCTTTAGCCAACAGGACAAGAGACCTCTGCACCAATGGACTCTCTTTACCAAATGAATCTGGCAAAGACTGTGACCCAGAAACAGGCAATCACAAGAAGCCAGACTCAGAAGAGCCAGAACATTCTCGAGATGAGAACTCGCAGTCTGCAGGAGAAAACAGCTCTCTCACAGAAAGTGCAATACTGGAGACCCAAAACGATGCCATCCAATTACCAGACCTGGATTACCTCCCACGTGATAGCCAAACCAGAAACTATAATGCTCCTGAAAAGGACAGTTTTTCAGACAATTACACACATTCAGACCAAAATGCAGCGTCTATAGTGATAAATAAGGGTGAGGACCCTGGCCTAAGCCTGCCTTTGCGCATGAAGGAAAATTATGATTCAGTGGAGAAAGCTCTTAAAACTGAGTCTGTAAATATATGCGTCAAAGAGGACATGCCTGATGGTCTTACATCTGAGGGCCTCATAACAGAAGCACAAGAGGAAAAGCACATTAACCATAAAGAAATTAATGCAAAAATTGAAGAGGAGGAGGAGGACGCAGAGGTGGCAGAAGCTCTTGCAGCGCTGGAAGCTGCAACCGCGGGGGAAGATTACGAAGAGGATGAGGAGTATTAGATGGAGATTTCTTTCTAACACATTCATAGTAAACTTAGTTCTGGAGCTGTGTGACACACTAATGAATGCATGTGTTGTACAGAACAGACAATTATTGTATAAAGCACAAAAACAGGAGCTGGGACTAGAACTCTGATCATTTAGCTGCTAAAACACAGTCCTTTACCACCTGAACTGAAGAAGAACTCCCTTGGCTTCTGGTAGTAATAGGGCCCATATCGTTCCCATAGGCCACAAACAAGAGCGTAGCATCACTCACACAAAGCCAGCATGTAACAATATAGTTCACGTGAAGGTTTTCTTCAGTTGACTCAAGGGCTTTCACACACCTCAAGTTTCATGTTCAAATGAATCTCAAAGCACGGCTACAAAAACCAGAGTTTCCCCATTTCTGGTATAAGCCATACAAAACCACAGAATTGAATCATTTCAGTGTAAAAATATACAACTGACCCTAGGTTCAAAAACCTTTCAGCAAACTGTGACTAAGAAATTAGCAGAGCTGTGAGATGCAGTCACAGTGAAACCCATGTGAAACTTGCCTGGTTTCATGCTTTGCAAGAAACTAGAATCACAATCTCTTGACTCACCAATTGTTTACAAACGGATTTTGCCTCAGCCTCCCAGAAGAAGCAAAACCCATTTGTTTAAAAAACACCCACAACCCAGGGAGGGCTAAATTCATCCTGCTGTAACTGGACTACAGTCCCTAGACTTACAGCAGGGAGACAGCTGTCCCCAAATCAAGTACCTACTACACTTTAGAACTTTTGAATCTCTACTTTCAGAAATGTTTACCCTTTCTGGATAATTTCATATTTTTAGTTTTCAGTTAGTACGTTAAACTTCCTCTTGTACAATTTCCGGTTGAAAGCCTAGGAGATATGGAAAATAAACACTTCATGTTTAAAGTCACCAAATGTTGGATGCTGTCGAATGGCTGAGATAGAAAATGTGGTCCAAGTTTTATATTGTGAATTGATGGCTCCTGAATTGATTATAAATTGTTAATAAAATAATTGTTTTAAAATTTAGAGAACCATTATCTGTTGACTTTTATACTTTGTTAGGTTTCTAAATTATGCAACAGTTGCTAAGAAATAAACCTTCAAAGAAACTTAATATAAAACCCATCCTCAATTAATGTGTGTGAAAATTACCGATTGTTATGTCACCTTTGCCTGTGCAATATATGCTACTTGCCTCCAGTCTATATGCCAACAGTCTATTCAAGTGAGGAAATGATTGTAGTACAATGCCATTGTAATCCTGCTAATTTTAGTCAAAGGATCAGAATTCTGAAGGTAGAGCTCATATCTGATCTATACTAAGGCCTTTAATCTTAGTCTTTACTTAGACCTGGAGTATACTTACAAGTTAGGTCAACATAGTTACTTTGATCAGGGGTGTGAGAAAACCAAACCCCTAACCGACCTAGCTACGCTTACCTAACTCCCAGCAAAGATGCAGCTATGTTGACGGAATGATGCTTCCGTTGACCTAGCTGCCATGACACGGTGTGGCGTTGTTTCCACACTGTTGGAAAAACCCCTTCCATCCATCTATGCTGAGTCTACACAATGAGATTATGCCAGCATAGCTAGAGTGACATGGCTATGCCAGCACAGTCGCCAATGCATAGACATATCCTTAGGTTTTTCCCAAATAGGTACTACAGTATGAAACCCATATTTCTGCTTCCCAAAACACTACACATATTCCTGCTAATAGTGGTTTAAATTACTATTGCTTCAAGAAAACCAAACATGACTGAAAATGAAATAGTTGGCACATTGTATTGTCAAAATAAAAAAAGCTCCATGTGTTCTTAATACAGAACATTAGTCTCAAAAGACTGTCCCTTTCCTCTGCCTCCCCGGCAGTGGCTGCATTTCAGTGAGAAGTGAACTTCTTGTATGTGTTTAGTCTGTAAAGTGCCTGGGTGAAAAGCACTGTCAGAGATATTTCTGTGAAACTGAGACATGTTAAATGATAATATTTAGTAAGGCAAAGTTATACTTACTAAATCTTTTCATATGTGATTTTATATATATACATATATATTTACTGTATTACTGAATTCCACTTGTAGACAATTTGTACATTATAGATAAACCAGTCATACTAGGAAATTGCATATATGCCTTTATATTGTGAAACTACATTTTATGGAAATGTAAAATCTGAATATTCTTCAGTTGATATTTCTCATACTGCAGCTGGTTAGTAGAAAAGAACTCATCTGTTCAACAGGCTTATTAGAAAACTAAATGAAGGAACAATATGTTCTGCATAAAATATAAAAATCAGACTATACTAAGTTGTGCACCATAATTCTGCTGTATAAAATCAAAAGGACATGTTCTAGTGTGTAACAGACTATGCTACTTGGGGTATATTGTACTGTATTCTTTTTCTCCTTGCTGATACAGTATGTAGGCAGCACTGCGAGGAGACAGTTTCTCACACAGACAAATAATGAAAGGAAGTATTCTTTGCATACTTGGACTGCCCATCTGCATACAACAATTTCAAGGCAACTTAAAGCACTGGATTTCCACTTGTTGGATTTAGTCAGTTAATAATTTGGGCGTGATTTGGGGGTAATGGAGTTCATTTCAGTGTTCAAACTAAGCTCCCCCCTTAGTTTAATAGCCTTATTTGCACAGTAATTTGATAATTAATGACCCAGGCCCACTTCATTAAAAAAATGGACATTCCATTGACATGGACCCTAAAGTTGTTTCACACTTGTCATTTTTGGCCTGATCCAAAGCCACTGAACGGAAGTTTTTGACTGACTTTGGATCAGATTCCTTATGAACAGCTGCTTTTTGTTTCTAACTTCGCTGTTAACATGGTACATAAATGAAGAGCGGAAAGGAGTATAAACAGTTTACTGGAGTGCCAAAAAAAAAAAAAAAAAGAGAGAGAGAGAAGCTAGTGGGTCTTTAGGTAATTCAAAAAATACATACACAGACCAAGTATCTTATATAAATATGGAACATTTAGAGGTTGTATACCAGGGCTCTTTTCCAAGCAACTTTTTTTCTCACTTACTAGGATTTGTTCTCCATTTAAACACTCCCTGTTTCTCCAAATTATTTAACGTGTTTAAGAAGCATAAGTGTAGGCAACAGCAGCCACAGTAGCCCTAATTCGGAACCCTTAGGAATTTTCTGTGACCCTTATTTGCATGTATTTGAACTCTAGGTTCTCCTGTAGAGTTCACCTTGACCAGCTAAAACATGTTAAAATACCACTTGCCCTCTCTGTGCTAGGATTTTAAAACATCTTACTTCAAACTTGTTAGCCAACGTATTTTAAAATACACCTTTTGCCCTAGTACAGACATACCTTTGTAATCCATGCCTGCTTGGTGTGGCACTCTGTCCCCAGGTTACACCTTTGAAAGCAAATCTACTCAGGTCAAGAACAGAGGCCTTGAATCCTGATTTCTTGTGAACTCAAAGCTCCCACTGACTTCAGAGAGAGTTCTGATCAGATAGGGAAATGCAAGATAAGTCCACGTGCTCAGTTTGTAGAAAAGAAAAGCACTCTATGTTTTTCTTCCTTATAAAGCATGTGGAGATTAACAAATTAACACAAAAAATGGAGACCTGGAGTCTGCATGCTGCAACTTGCAAGGAACAGAGTTGGCAGGGAATAGGTTGGAAAATGGAGATGAACGAGCTACATGGAAAGGCTCCCCTGCAAGCTGCCCTATTGTTACCACCACCCCACACATCCACCACCAGCCATAGCAGCACAGGAGGACCAGTAGTTGCTCTGCCAATTGGTTTATTGCCACCAATGGGCTCTTCCGCCATGAGTCAGAGCATTGAATGAGATCAGTCACAGTTTTATAGAGGATCATGCCATGTAGTATTGCTCCTCTTCCCAACCCCTAGCATCATAATTCGTGGGAACTGAGGGCAGCCTCCCACTTAGCCACTTTCACACTCTGCAGGGTCGTACTGTGATTTTATGGGTAGATTTGCTCTCGCTGTCACCCATACCACTGAGCAGCTAAAGCAGCATATGAGCCAATGTTACGGCCCCTTTCACTGACTACAAATAATAGTTATTAATTAATAACAACCCATGTCAAAAGGGAAGAGAAGCAGCTTACCTCTGAAATAACCCTGAACTTCCCCTTGTTCCCACAGAAGCACAAATTCTGTATGTTTTCCCCTATAAGTTTTCAATAACTGTGTAATCAGCAAGCCTTTTTCAGCCCTTTAAAATGCAGTCATGTAGAAATGCAAATACTATCAACCTTTACAGTCCATTTTATTTTTGCATAAAACCTCTTAGTCCAGCCATTAGTGGGAATAAAATTTACTACCCTGGGAAAGCAGAGGACGTAAGCAATGCTCTTGGAAATTTGAGCGTAAGCTGCATGCACAAAACTACACCTTTTAAGAGCCCCTCTCCTCCCTTTGTAGCGGTTAAAAAAATCCCCAAACACACATCAGAAGCAGCTACATAATAAAGAGGAGAACTACAAGTAATGTAAATACCATTTATGCTCCCTCTATTCAGAGGGATCAGTTTTAAGCAGAACTCTAAAAGTTGCAGTCTTCCATTGCTAGCTTTCATGTCAGTGTGAGCGAGCCTCTTGTCCACCTGTGTGCTAATGGGAATAGACACTTTATGCGTTTCAATGTGGCCTAATGTAAAATCAAACATATAGGAACAAGAATGCAGACCATAATTACAGGAAGGCAGACTCTATCCTGGGAAGCTATGATTCTGAAAGAGACTTGAGGGATGGTGTGGAGGGAAAAATCGGATGAAAATGAGCTCCCTGGGTAACTCCAAAGGTTAATGCAATCCTTGGATGTATAAATAGAGGAATACTGAATTGGAGTAGGGAAGTTATATTACCTCCGCATTAAAGGGAAAGTTATGGGGTCACTTGATCACAGTCTATAAGTATATACATGGGAACAAAAATGTGATAATAGAGAACTCTTCAATCTAGCAGACAAATGTATAACAAGATCCAATAGTTCAAATACACAAATCAGACTGGAAATAAGGCATACATTTTTAACTGAGGGTAATTAACCACTGGAACAAGTTATCAAGGCTTTTGGTGGATTCTCCATCACTGGAAATTTTAAAGCCAAGATCGGATGTTTTTGTAAAAGATATGCTGCAGGTGGATTGATTTAAATCACAGTGATTAAATCACAGATTTAAATAATAATTTAAATCAGCAAGCAAGAAACCTTGATTTAAATCATTGACTTTTCCTTAAGAAAATAACTAAAAAGTAAGATTGACTCTCATTGCTTGATAATTCTTTTGCTAGCCAGGAGACACCTATGCACATTGATTTAGGCAATTAGGTAGCTTAACATACTTTGATTGAGATTCTTAATTTTACATTTGTATTATGTTATAAAATGGTGAATGATGGGTTTCTTATCTGCTAAAGGATGATTAATTTTTTGTGATTTGTGTCAATCTGCACTTGAATGGAAACTGGAATTCAATGTAACATGTTCTTTTGTGCACTCAAATTATTTTTATATGTTAATTATCTTAAATGTGCAGAATATATAAGAAAAAAGTCTGTTTATCAAAACATGTTTTGCATTTAAAACCAATTGATTTATTAAACAAAGGGAGTATTGTCTGTAGTTAGTGAACTGAAATGATTGTTTCTGGTTACTGTGTGCTTCAAGATTTTAGAACTAGCAGATCATCCTCTCACAACTCATGTTTATTAGAGCTAGTCAGGAATTTTCCATTAGAACAATTTTCCAGTAGAAAATGTCCTTTTCATAATGTTGAAGAATTCATGGGAAAAATTTTATTTTTCCCATCAGGAAAATCAAAATAATAGCTCCCCAGCTGCCTGCCTGAAAGATCCTGAGTATTTCTTTCTGCCTATGGTGAGAAAGTGATAAGGCAAGAAGCTAGGTAGCCAAAACATTCATGTTGGCTCCCCGAAACAAAATTGTACTTGAAATCCTTTCCTGTGAAAAATGTCACATTTTTGACTTTTCATCCCAATTGGGATGACATTTTTTAAAAACCACAATTTTTCCCTCAGGAAGGGATTTCTGTTTTCTGCACATCTCTAGTTTTTTTTTTATTCAGAGATTGAATGAGAAAAAACAAACTTTCCTGCTATTTCCGCTCCCATTCAGTTTCTCAACTCTGAATGAGCTAGTCATTGAATGGAACTAGCTGGACAATGTATTTAATCTAAAAAATTGATTTCAATAAATAATACAGTTTTTAAATTCTTTTCTTTTCTTTTCAATATCAGATTTTGATCCACCCTGATAGGCTCTAATTGGAACATAAATTAATTCAGGGATGTCCTATGGCCTGCATTATGCAAGAAGTCTGCCTAGATCACAATGGTCCCCTTTTGGGGAACCTACAGTTCCTATTGCAATTAAATACAGCTGCAATGGTGCTGAGTACTTGCACATCTAGTGCTCAGCACTTATAAAAATCAATATTGTATAACAGAACAAATATGAGAGAACTCGGACAGTGAGCAAACAAATTACACCATAGTCCTCATGTGACTCTTTTTTTTGCTTCCTGATAGGAAGTAAGCTTGTATTTCTTGAAAGTCTCCTTTCCTCCCACTGCTTGTAGAATAAAGGGTCATGTCAACGGACAATATGGAGAACTGAAGAATTACTGTAAAGTACGGCAAGAATCTATGCTAGGTTCAGGGTTGTTGTTGTTTTATAATCATTACGAATCAGAAGAGGAGATAAAGAGCAAAACTGTGCAAGCTCTGCAGGGCTTGGTTCATGCTCATGAACTGAACAACACAGTGCAGTTTACAAGAGTTTGACAACAACCTCACCTCTTCAGATTCACTCAGAGAACTGTGTCTCATGAACTCAAAGATCCAAGGGAATAAACCATCTGCAGAGGGGGTAAGGAGAGTGCATGATAGCTACCCACAGATATTGGAAAGGTGTAACTACTGAAAAGGAAGAGGAATTTAGGGTGACAAAAGGTGATATGAGTATATGGGATGAAATTCGGAAAGAAAAAAAAAATAGGCTAAGCATCTGGAAAAACCTAAACTGTTAAATGTATTAAAAGCCCTAAAAGATATACTATAGGGAGCACTCCTTAATTGGCATTTGGCATGGGACTAGACTGTTGCTGGTAACCTACATATTAGGTCTTTTCCATCTCTACTCTCTAAGAACCTATGAATAAAGACTGGATAACATCATAGTTCTCATTTGGGGAATTTCTCCCCCCTAAGCCAGGAGGTGATAATAAAACTACCAGAAAGTGGTGCTAACCTGAGAAATGCATAGGTGTGTAGGAGAAAGGGGCTGGATTGACAACACTAGGATATTGAAATTCTCTACCCATAACAAAAAACCACTGTGGTCTATACCGCTTTACAAGCTCCCTCGTTCTGCCTGTCCCTGACCTAGAAGGACCATCTCCAAGACTGAGGCCTTGTCTACACTGCCACTTTACAGCGCTGCAACTTTCTCGCTCAGAGGTGTGAAAAAACACCCCCCTGAGCGCTGCAAGTTTCAGCGCTGTAAAGTGGCAGCGTAGACAGTGCACCAGCACTGGTAGCTACACCCCTCGCGGAGGGGGGTTTTCTTCCAGTGCGGGGTGTGCTCTCTCCCAGCGCTGGTGCCCTGACTACACTGCCAGGGCAGCGCTTTAACGTTGCTAGTGAAGACATACCCTGAGAGGATATTACACTTAAGAATCTTTAATCTAACACAATGTGGTTGAAGCAGTGACACTTGAAGGTTAACAATCTAATAATAAATTGCATGTTTTGTCAAAACAATACCACTGGCTGTTTGGGTTCTAGTTAATTTTTACTGACAAAATCCCCTACTTGTGCAGATATGTTTAGGTACGAAACAAAAAGATAACATTACTGCCCAACTAGGTTGGCTGGTTTTGCATTTAGGATAAGATGTTCATGTGACAAACATCCAGTCTGTGTGAGTCAAAAAAAGGACTGCACTAAAAACAAACCTAAATGATCATAACAAAAACAAAGCTAACAAAAGCTGTTGCATGAAAATCTTTAAAAATCATGGTCATAATATAGACACTGGATTTGTGACTCATTACAACAATCACCTACTAACTAACCTACTCCTTTATCCCATGACTGCAGAGGTGTTAACTGCCCACTGCACCTTGAATGGTCTCACAACATTTTTGCTAAAAATTCTATTCCACCTTGTATTTAGCTGTGACACTGAGTATCTTTCCTAAACCTGAGGAAGCGCTGCAAGATCGAAAGCTCATCTCTCTCACCAACAGAAACTGGTCCAATAAAAAGAAAAGGAGTACTAGTGGCACCTTAGAGACTAACCAATTTATTTGAGCATAAGCTTTCGTGACTACAGCTCACTTCATCGGATGCAATAAAAGATATTACCTCACGCACCTTGTTCCAGACACACATGTTAATACTGTAGCCTACAAAGGTAGGTAACTAATACACAATCAATAGACCAGGCAACAAAACTACTGAATAAAACTAGAGTTTTGACATGAGGGACATGGAGCCTGTTGTTTTATTTTGTGTTGTTTATTTTAAAAGAAGGAGGGCTGGGGAGCGGTTGTATGTTTTTGTTGCTTGTTTGTTTTAATACCTAACAAGTTAAATTAGGATTACGTTGGCATTACAAAAAGTTTGTTTGAATAATCAGCAAATATTGCTACAGCTCCCTCTGCTGTCTGCACATATAGATTTCAGACCTATCTGTGCCGAACCTGCTCATTTAACACAGGTAAAAATATTTAAAGTTTCTAGAATATAATAGGTATATTTATTTCAAAAAGAGAGGCAGGAGAAAACACTATATTTGTATTTTTTATTTATTTGGTTTTCATCTATTGCCATGTTTTGTTGCCATTAATGGTTTTAAAGCATTTTTATGGCAAATCAAAATACTGATGTCCAGTCGTACTTTGTGAGGTTCTGTCTGTGCCTTTGTGACATTTGCTATTTACATCATGACCACACAGTGAATGTTCTAATAGTTTGTCATGACAAAACACTAGCAAAACTGAATTCTCTACTCAGATATTTCTGTTACGCTCATCCCCATGTTATCTAAGTAACTTGAAGCAATAAGAATGGGACTGGAAAAAACAAACAGCAGTCTTTGCTGAAGCCCCACCCACTGTTGAAAAAAACAGACCCTTTGATTCTGTCACCCAACACCAATTGCTTGATAGACCCTCCATACATACAACTGATGCAGACAACCCTGTGCAGTGCAAGCAACATTGATGCAGATCCCCACACACTGCAGATCATAACCACAACTGATACACACTATGCAACAATGCGCCTCCCCCCACTTTCACCCACAAACATACTAACACACTCACCAGCCCCCACACTGTTATTCACACAGACTGGTCTCCTCTCCCTGACACGCACAAGCCCTCCCAGTGACATACCCGTCCCCACCAGACCCATCACAATTGCATTATCTCCTCCACCCCCTCAGGTCTGAGGGGACCACAGCTCTCCACACTGGCTGCTCTGAGCTTGTGCTCCCCAGCCCTGTGCTTGCAGGAGGGAGCAGTAGCTATTCCGGGTGCTGAGGAACATGAGCACATGTGTTGGATCACATTAAAGAAGTTCTGTATTAAAATCACAAATGAGTTTGATTCCCCAGAGTTTAAATTCCAGGGTATTACTAATTAAGAGGTCTCTTGGTTTTTGGTACTGTTTCTCTCCCTCTATGTGTGAAACTTGCAAGCTGCTAATTGTGTTAGTACATTCTAAGACAGAGTCTATTCTCAAAGCAATTCACAGAGAGAGAGAGACTCAAAGCAATACTCTAACAACAGAAACAGCACCCAGAGACTCCCCACCCTTTTGTTGTATTAACAATTGTGATTAAAATAGAGATAGAGGATGTATGTGGATGGATGCTTGGTGTGGATAATAACTGAATGATCAGGGAGGTGCCAGCCTAAGAATCCAGTGTCCATCGGCTGAAGAAGGCGTCAAGTGGAAATAACCAGAGGACCCCCCGGAGGGCAGACTGGAATCCACCCAACAGCCTCAAGAACGGGAGAACCAAAGAACAAGATAACATCTTGGAGCCGTCAGGAATGTGCTATCTGCTGATTGATTCAGCAACAGCATGATGAAGCAATTCCCATAGACTGGCATAGGAAGAAATTCCTATAAAAATAGACTCTAAAAAGTGAGAACTTTGGGGTCTGATTCTGCAAACCAACTTCCAGGAGCATCAGATGAGCATCTGACAAGGCCCTGCTCCCTCCTCATGTCCAGGCCACCTGGCCAGTGGCTTGGCATGAGCAACTCTAAGGCTGGTAACTATGATAACAACCTTGCAGAACCTGTGTGTGTGGGTGTGTATGTGTGTTTGTATGAATGAATGTGTGAATAAATATGAGATTGAATGGAATGTTATAACTAGAACTAACTGCTTTCTATGATTCTTTCTGTATTCACAATAAATGTGGTATTTTGCCTTTTTCCCTTTAATAAGATCCTGCTGGTTTTTATTTTATTGGTACAACACATGGAGCCGCTCTGATCAGCCAGGGGAGTTGAAGGGAAGGAGACACAGAAGTGCAGGTATGGGGGTGTGGCACTGTTTCCGAGCCCTGGTTTCCATACTAAACAGTTAGTGATAAACAAG